TTTTCTATGTTTTTCCACCTTTTTTCTGCTCTCCCTCTGCCGCTTTTCTGCTCTCTTTTTTTTCTCCCTGCCTTAGGTCATTAGAGGGGCTTATATATAGTCTAACATATCTCTATTTAGGAAGGATTCAATTCATTAATCCTAGGACGCAAATCCCTACTGATTTGTAGAAAAAAAAATGCAAAAGGAAACTGCAATATTCTGATTTTGTGGTGGTGCTTTACATCTGATTTCTTTCTAGTTTTGGAGGATGGTGTGGCTCTTTTCTTTCCTTCTATAAGGCCAGCTGCTCCCTTTGAAATGAGGCAACAAAAACATGGTCTTCAGCTCCAACAATCAGATGTGATGAGAAAGGAAAACAATAGAGAAAAAGGGAAAGAAATCAGATGAAGGGTGCATCTGCAAAGCCTTATTTTTCTTATTCGGTGTGGTAAAAATCCTTTCATTTATGATGATCCAGCCCTCCTTTCCAGCTTTCAATATCCTTCTTCAATTCAATTCCTCATTTTAACACGTTTTGATTCAGTTCTTGGTCCATAAAAAATCCTTCAAATCAGTCCTGCGAACTTGGGCTATATCCTTCCCGCGACAAAATTTTCTACCTTCACGTTAGATATTCAAATAGAAATATCTTGAGCTTCTGATATCAAAATCAAGTGATTCAAAACCCAAAATCATTTAAACATCTAGGACTAAAACTTTGATGAAGAAATCGAAGTGAGATAAAAATTTTTTACAGAACAAAATCTAGCAGTGATTTGGTTGGTCGAAAGGGATCTCCGGGTCTAACTCAAAAACTGATGAAGGCCGAGAATCCTAATATGACTGAGAGTATGAAATAAGAACAAAAATCACAAAAACTAGGCCAAAAATAGAGTTTTTTTAGCGCAGACTCGGGTCAATATCCTTCTCGCGGCAGAATTCTTTGCCTTCACGTTAGATATTCAAACGGGAACATCTTGAGCCTTTGATATCGAAATCAAGTGATTCAAAAGCTAAAATTCATCTACGCATGTAGGACTACAACTTTGATGAAGGAATTGAAGTGAGATAAAATCTTTTTACAAAATAGAATCTAGCAGTGATTTGGTTGGTCAAAAAGGATCTCCGGGTCTAACTCAAAAACTGACGAAAGCCGAGAATCCTAATATGACTGAGAGTATGAACTAAAAACAAAAATCACAAAAACTAGGTCAAAAATAGAGTTGTTTTAGTGCAGACTCGGGTCAATATCCTTGTCGCGACAGAATTCTCTACCTTCATGTTAGATATTCAAACGGGAACATCTTGAGCCTTTGATATCGAAATCAAGTGATTCAAAAGCTAAAATTTATCTACGCATGTAGGACTACAACTTTGATGAAGGAATCGAAGTGAGATAAAATCTTTTTACAGAATAGAATTAGCAGTGATTTGGTTGGTCAAAAAGGATCTCCGGGTCTAACTCAAAAGCTGACGAATGCTAAGAATCCTGATATGACTGAGAGTATGAACTAAAAAAAAAAATCACATAAACTAAGCCAAAAATAGAAAAAAATTTTAGTGTAGACTCGGGTCAATATCTTTCTCGCGGCAGAATTCTCTACCTTGAGCTTCTGATATCAAAATTAAGTGATTCAAAGCCCAAAATCATCTACGCATCTAGGACTACAACTTTGATGAAGGAGTCGAAGTGAGAAAAAATTATTTTATAGAACAAAAACTGGCAGTAATCTAGTTGGTCAAAAGGAATTTCCAGGTCTAACTCAAAAACTGACGATTGCTGAGAATCCTGACATGACTGAGAGTATGAACTAAGAACAAAAATCACAAAAATTAAGCCAAAAATAAAAATTTTCTAGTACAGACTCGGGTCAATATCCTTCTCGCGGTAGAATTCTCTACCTTCACGTTAGATAGTCAAATAGGAATATCTTGAGCTTCTGATATCGAAATCAAGCGATTCAAAAGCCCAAAATCATCTACGCATCTAGGACTACAACTTTGATGAAGGAGTCGAAGTGAGATAAAATCATTTTACAGAACAGAATCTGGTAGTAATCTAGTTGGTAAAAAAGGTTCTTGATCTGACAATGCTAAAGCATCCAAATTTGACTGAGAATCTGCCCTAAAAACAATGATCCGTAGGACTTAATAAAGGTATATGTCAATTTTTGAATATGTCATGAGTGACATAATATAGTTAGGATGGTCAGATATCGTACGAAACCAAGTCAGAATTAGAGCCTAAGTTGAAACAAAAGAAAAAAATTACAACAGCAGCAGAACCCCTTTTTTCGCTTTTGTCAATTTTCTAGCAAACATGAGATACATTCGCACACTTGGTTCAAAACGGGTATACACCATCTCTAACATGTAGGGTTCAAAATTGAGTAACAACAATAATTACATTCCATAATATTTATTGATATATAAAAAAATACTAATGAAGATTTTAACAACGGGGTATTTTTATCTGTGAGCATGTCAGTAAATTTATTGTCAACAAAATAATAGTATAAATACCTAAAAAAATTCTATTAGTAAAACTAAGAATTCTGGTAGGGCACCAAATGCTCACTTAATCACTTGAGTGGACATAATCATTTTGATCTATTTACGGGTTGTTTTTATAAACTCAACTCAACGCCATTAACAGTGGATAAGTGTCTGGGTAAAGGATTAGAACGTTTTCAATGTTCATTGTTTTCTTCGTAATGGTTTCATCTGGGAAAGACTGGGTCGCTCGAATTGAAAAACAAAAAATGTAATCCTTTTTCGGAGAAGTCTGCAAAAGCTTTTTTTTTTTAAATATTCTAGGTCTAGGAGTACAGTCACACGTGAGGAAGGATGAGCACCCGCTCGACGCTCGTTTTTAAAACGATACCAATTGATTGCATATTTTCCACATCGTCCCTTTTTCAAAAGATTGGAAATCAATAATTCTGAGACACATGCTTCGGTAACTTTTACAGGAGCGTTTTGATAAAAGTTTGGGGTTGGTAGGGTCTAGACTCGCTATCATTACAGTGATCTGAAATGATGAAAGGCAAGTCAAGTTCTACATGGAGATTAATCTCCAGTAATATTATTTGAGGTATTTGATTGTTTAAGAGCAATAGTGTAAGAATGCTTTCAATTCAAATTTTACTTATAAAAAAAATAAACTCTTAAGATATACTCATTACATCAAATCAAATTATGTTATAATAAAAAAATTTATGTAATTTTTTTCGGTTTTGCTTCTCCTTTTCTGGTCTCTTTATTTCAGTTAAAATAGATTAACATTAGTTTTTTTTTTAGATTCTCTTCCTCTATTTCTTGTTTTTTTTTCCTTCTGTATTGTCTTGTCGGCTTTATAATATGCTTTTGATAATTATAAAAAAAAATATATTATTTACTTAATTTATTTTTATTGTTGTTGTTTTTCATAATTTTAGTTTGTTAATATTATTTACTCAAACATCAAAATTATTATTTTAAAAATTAATAAAATATTTATTTCTAACATCTATCATATGTTGGTATTAATATATCTATATAGAAAATATTGCAAGTATACTATATAGAAAATATTATAGTAATACTCTTGTGTTGTAATCTTTATTATTAACTTTTATTATTATTATTGTATATTCTCCTCCATATATATATATATATATATATAATTAACTAATAGCTAAATTCTCCTGATTATTCTTAACTGTTGGCATGGCTAACACGTTTCACCTAGTTTTTGTAGTTTACCTAACATCTAACTAACATTATTACCACTAAAGCAAAGATCATAAGCATCGATTTAAAGGCTTGCCGTCACTGGGTTTTTTGGCAAAGCACGTGCACCAATATCAGTGGTGACACTCAAACGCCTTGTAAGATTATGTGGTCGAATTCACTTACCATAATAATCTAAGTTTAATTTTCTTATCGTTTTTAATATAATTTTAATCCAAATTGTGTGTTTAGCGCTTTTGTAAGTCTCTCTAGATCTCTTGATGTACCACTCAAGTTTTATCATCTAGTTACAAATATTGTAAGAAATCTTTCTGACGATAAGTCTTCGACAATGCAAATTGTCATATACTGTCGTGGTCCGTGACATTTAAATTTTTGGATTGCATTAATAAAGTTTATATTGCACGTTTTTCTTCCAGTATGATAATTTTGTTTTTTCCCTCGTTGTTTGGATATTTGAAATAAACAAATATATATACCCCCCTCCTTATCTAATCTGTCTATATATACCTCCGACACAATTGCATTAACCACATAAAGGACACATACATTCCAACATTCGACAGATTCGTCTAAGCAAATGGTATGAAACTATCTAACTTACATTTCCATCCGATGCTAATAGATACATGTGTTTTGATGATGACTACTGTTTGTGCTCAGGCATCCTCGGAAGGAATCATTTCATTGGGACCATGGGGAGGTTTAGGTGGCGACCGCTGGAGTTACAGGGCAAGCGGTGGGATAACTGAGATAGTCCTCCGTGTAGAAGGAAATATCAAGTCCATTTCCTTCAAAGATGCCAGTGGCCTGGTTTCTGGGACATTCGGTGGCACTGGCAACGACCCTAATGACAGGGGTAAAGAGAAAAAGGTGACTTAACTATTCATATATTAATACATTTACAGGGAGGCTAATTCCATAGCATTTTTGTAGATCCTTTATAATCTGTCTGTTATGTTTCTTGCTGAATGTTTTGTACTTCATTTCCCTTTATAATTTTAACACGTTCTGCTTTTTTAAATTAGTAATAGATCAGCAGCACTTGGATATTTTACTTACCTTGTATTTTATGCTTTCTGTCATGTATAGATTGCAATCCAATGGCCTTCAGAGCATTTGAAATCTATAAGCGGAACTTGTGGAAGATGCAAAGGATTATTAGTGATCACTTCCCTATCGTTCATTACAAATCTCACTACGTATGGACCTTTTGGAACAGCTGCTCGTGAAACTTTCTCTATCCCGATAGCAGATAGCACCGTGGTTGGATTCCATGGGAGATGTGGTTACTACCTTGATGCACTTGGTATTTTTGTGACACCTGTAAGTTCATTCAACTATATTTTATCAGTAAATATATGGTTATTATTGTTGCTTGTTTTCTTTTTAAGTATGCGTCCTCGTCTGAGTCTTAAGGTTTCACTTCTTTGGTTGAATATATATGGATTTTATGAATATTGTTTTCTTTTAAGCTAGCGTCCTCTTCTATATATCAGTACGCCATTTTGCTGTGACATTTTACAGCCTCGTCTAGTATTTCTCAGACATGTATCCTTTTGAAACATTCGCCAAGTGTTGCAATGCCGGTGGGTCGCGCCATATGGCTAGTAACAACAGAAATAATTGACTATTGGTTTTCGTGCAGGCAAATTCGCATGGAAGCATTTCAGTTGGGCAATGGGGTGGTCCGGGTGGAGATCCTTTTAGTTTTAGGGTGGGAAGCTGGATAAAAGAGATAATTGTTCATGAAGGAACCAATATCAAGTCCCTCTCTTTTAAAGACGGAAATGGCCATGAGTATGGAAAATTTGGCGGCAAAAACGCTAATGACACTGGTGAAGAAAGAAGAGTGAGTATGGCATTTATGGCTTGCATAGGATAGCAAATCAAATGAAGCATTTCCTTTTCTCTTCCTTATTTAGCTAAGCTAATACCATATACAATATTCTATGATGCAACATGTGTGTAGATTGAGATCGATGGGCATTCAGAGCATCTAACATCCATAACCGGGACATATGGAGATTATGCTGGAATGGTGGTGATCACATCACTAGCATTCCAAACTAATCTCACCACATATGGACCTTTTGGAAATGCTACCGGCACTTCTTTCTCCATACCAATTGAAGGTTCGGTCGTGACTGGATTTCATGGAAGAGGAGGCCACTACCTTGATGCAATTGGCATCCATGTGAAACCTGTAAAGTTTTTCTTTTTTTCATGAATTTTTTTTAAAAATTTGCTGGGTAGTTTGGACCCCAGTTAGAGCAAAAAAAAAAAAAAAAACTCTGTAACAGTGGTTATTGGTTACGATGCAGAGGGACATAGAAGGAACCATTTCAATAGGTCCATGGGGAGGCCGAGGTGGGAGTCCATGGAGTTATATAACAAATCGAGGTATAAACCAGATAGTCATCCATGTAGGATCAAACATTAAGTCTATATCTTTCCGGGACACAACTGGCTTGGATTCTGCAACATTCGGAGGCGAAAACCCTAATGACATTGGTGAAAGGAAAACTGTAAGTATTCCCCCTTGTGGCGTGTTAAGTTTTTTGATAGAAAATATATCTAAAGGAAAAAATTAACTAAGAATGTTTTTTTTTTTTTTGCAGTTTGTATTGTCAAAAGTTTTTAAAAGTTTTTCGATTTTTTTGCCGTTTGCATTTATGTTTCACAAACTACTAATTAAAATAGTTCACGTATTTTGCTTTGCATTATTTGCAGGTTCTTATTAACTGGCCTTCTGAACACCTGATATCCATTAGTGGGACATATGGCAATTTCAGCACTTTATTAACGATCACATCGCTGTCATTCACTACAAATAGGGCTACTTATGGACCTTTTGGAACCGGTTCTGGCACTCCTTTCTCCATCCCCATAAATAACCGGCACTCCTTTCTCCATCCCGATAAATAATAATACGGTGGTTGGATTCCATGGAAGAGCTGGACACTACCTCGACGCCATTGGCATCTTTGTCAAACCACAGACGACAATCTAACTTCTTATTGGGAGAAATAAGTTGTCTTATCTCTAAAATATCCATCGATACAATGTCAATGCGTCGATGCTTTGTTCATGGTGTTGTTCTTATATGCTCTAATAATGTACGGAAATTAATGTGTTTTTGTTGTTTCTTAGTGTTGTTTACGAGGGCTTTGACAGCTCTCTGGTGTGCTCGTTTCCTTTATGCTTCGTTGTATCATGTATCAATAAATATTGCGACTTTGAATAAAAGCAGGGATAATGTAAACCCTATCAGTGGTTGAAATCCCTTTAGTAGTGAAAATTTGATTTTCCTTTCAAGCGCATTAGTTTCTTGGGAGGTTCTAACTCTCGTAACTCGGGAATTATTTATACAGAGATAACCATAATAAAAGATCCTTACCTTGTAAAAAATCAGGGATAAATTCTACCAAAAATACAGATAAACAAAGTCATTTATCAATTCTAAACCAACTTTAAAATGCGATAATGATTGTTTTTTACTTAAAAATATATTGAAATAATATTTTTTAAAAAAATTATTTTGATATTAATACATTAAAATAATTTGAAAACATAAAAAAATAATTTTATACAAAAAAATTTAAAATTTTTAAAAAACCTGTATTTTCAAATATCTTCTTTGACTGTTCGTTACATCTTTTGGATGCTATGCTACAATGCAAAGTATGAAAAGAGACTATAATCTGTTCGCAACATTAGTGAAAAGTACTTTTGAGATTTCAGGACTCAATTTGAATTATTTCACTCGAGCATGCTTTTTTCACAGACAATATAAAATTCCAGAAAGGCCTCAATTTCTATTCATTGAGAAATGTTTTTCATTTAAATTTCTCATTTCTTTCCAAACAATGAGAAAAAGACTAAACCAGATTATCTATTACATATTTTTCCCACAACTCTATTTAGAACTATAGACAAATGTTACTTTATGATGCAGTAATTACACTAAATGATCATAAAAAACTGGCCAAACCCTATTTCTCTTGGTTATGAAACAATTTAAGGAGAACACTTTTTGCTTCCTTTCACTTATTTTTCACTTATTTTGATTATGAAATTTTATCATTTAAAGCAACAATTTTAGTGTTGCATTTTTTTTTAATATAGAACTAATAAGCACAAATACTACATTAAAACAAAACAATAATGATATAGTGAAGCTTGTGATAATGAGTAATTTTGGACAATGAGGTATGAGTTTGTCACAACAAGATAATGATTTGCTTTAAATAGATTATATTGATGGCCTAACAGATATATTTATAGACTAGTGAGATAATTTTAGGTCCAAGAGGACATATGATCACATCAGATCAGAATAATAATTCAAAAGGGCCATAATATTTCCTTTAACCATTGGATCACACTAAAATTCTTATAAGATTGTTCGTAGGTCGTATTACTTAGAGTAGCTACTCCGATAGTTAGATCTTTAGATTTTGAAAATCTT